AGAAAACCAAGCCAACATCAAAATCAAAAATAGGAGCGGAGTCCTCCGATAGTAGAAAGGAGGCTGTGCTGCCTGGTCAGGGATGTGCCGGAAGTCCTCAGAATGTTAGTTTAAGGAGTCGGGGCAGTCGCTGCAGTCGCTGCCCACAGTGGCGGGCAAAAATTCAAAATGCCAAAAAGCCGTTCTGGCTGGCGGGTGGAGTCCACCTCTGATGACTTCCAAATTTGCCTCACTTATGTCTCTCTCTGCGTCCTGGTGAAAACCTCCGTTCCCTGTCTGCTTCACGCCTTGAGATTTCAAGCTGGGACAGAGAGATCTCCTGAGGCTTTTGTCCACCTGAGATTCCCAGCTTAGGCTGGCTCTAGCCCTGTCCTCAAAGCTCTAAGGAGCCGGGCCCGTCGCTGCCAGCACTGGTGGGTGAAAGTTCAAAATGCCAAAAATTGGCGTCGCACCATTTTTTGAAAAAGCGAGTATAGAGGAGGCAGATGCCCTGAGTCTTATGGTGATTTGAGGGTTTTGAGTTCGCTACCGCACGGCCTCCTCCTTGAGATCTCCCCCTTTGTCCTTGGAGCCCTCTTTATCCGTGTCGTCTTGCCTCAGTGGGGTCTAATTTTATTTTGATGCTTCCTCTATCTTTCAGTTTTTTGCCGGTGTTGTTGTTGTTGCTAATGTTGTCAAGTTGGTTCCAACTAATAGCGACTTTGTATAGGCTTTCTGAGGAGTTGATAGTGGTTTTGAACTGCCAATCTTATGGTTAGCATTTCTAGAATCTTTCAATATTGCAACCCATGGCTGTAAAAAAAATTTTTTTTTTCAGTTCTTTCAGCTTAAGAAATGCTGAGTGTGTTTTCCCTTTTGATTTTTGCACTTCAGACATTTGCACACTTTATTATACTTTACTTTATCTACCGGAGCTGCCCATTGAAATGTCTTCTTCAGCTGTTTTATGTCATTCTTTCTTCATTTGATTTAGCTATTCTACATTCAAGAGCAAGTTTCAGAGGGATAATCATATTACCTAAATAAATCACTGTGTGGAGTCTATACATAATGCTTGGAAAATTAGCAGTGGGCCTGGCATACAGTAAGGACTTGATAAATGTTCATTATTGGGTACTGAATTCTGTAAAATTATTAAGAATGGGAATTCTAAAACATTGAATTGTACTTATGCAGAACCTGTACCTATCAGTTTTCTCAAATAGAAAAAGGGATACTGCATGGCTCAGAGTGAGAAAACATGTATGGCAGGGTTGTATCCTTTTACCTTGTTCAGAATGTATGCCGAACAAAAATTTGATAAACTGGACTATGTGAAGAAAAACTTAGCATCAGGATTAGAGAAAGACTGATTAACAATTTGTGATAAGTTGTATTTTGTTAGTGCCATCAGAGCAACTTGGGCTTTTTCTTTCACCATCATTGGTTCTTGATTATGTGCTATCTCCTGAAATGACTGAACATCAGCCGCTTCTTTTTGGTACAGTGACTCTGTGCATTCCTTCCATCTTATATTGGCGCATCCTCCACCACGTTGTTAAGTCGGTTCTGATGTATACTTTCTCTGTATAGGATTTCTGAGTAGCTGCTGGTGGGTTTCAACAGCCAGACTTGTATTTACCAGTCATGTTTTGTTGTTATGTTGCTTCCAACTCATAGCAACCCTCTGTAGGGTTTCTCGGGAGCAGCTGGTAGGTTTGAACCGCCAACCTTGCAGTTCAAACTGACTTTGCGGTCTAGTGAAGTATCCAGCAGTGCTACACAGAGACTCCTTAGCAGTCATTTGGTGGTGGTGTTGTATAGTGCCATTGAGTTGGCTCTGATCCATACAGACCCTGTGTAAGGTTTCTGAAGAGCTGCTGGTGAGCTTGAACTACCGTTCAAATGACTTTGCAGTTCAAATGGCTTTGTAGTCTAGCATACTTTTAGGGTACCATATTCTCTTTGGTCTTCTATAAAATGCTTGCCTTTAGGGAAAAACCTTTGAATAGCGTGAAGGTTTCTATGCGCTGTGGATAAAAAGAAGTGTGTGTGTGTGTGTGTGTGTGTGTGTGTGTGTGTGT